TGCTTCCCACTATTGCGTGATCTTGATCGACTGCCTCCAAAAACTGTCCTATGACGAGAGGAACGGATTGTATTCGCTTCACCTGCAAGCATGCTCTAGGAAAAAAGAACAGAAAACAAATGACTGATAGCATAAATCTGTAGTAATCTCAACATCTATACTGAATAACTGTTAGAACATAGAACGGTTTGTTTATGCAGTGCTTTCAACAATTACTTGTGACGATACTGTACCAAACCTCTTCTTGTGCGTGAAGAAGTTCTTTCTCTAAATTTCTTGTCTCTAGCTTCACATAGTCCTCCATAACTTGCAGATGATCCAGCTCATTTTCCAGTTTTTTGAGCCTAGAATTGAAGAAGTGTTAGAGTAGGGTAAAGCATAGAATAAAAGTTAAGTCACATAACAACAAAAAACGGAGATTCACTTCAAATAATCATCACTTTCCGAGTCAAGGCCTTCCTTTGGTTGCTGCTCTCCCACAGAAACTTGTGCAATGACGCTATCCAAGTCTTCCTTTAAGAGAAGCAGTAAATAATCCTAATGCCACGAGCTTAATATGAATCTAGACTTACGAATATCCCTATCTCTCTGAGAGCAGCAGTTGCCATTTTCCAATTCCTAAAATAAGTTTCATCGCTAAAGGAGAACCTTAGTTCCATCTAGGCATAATGATAGGAAGTTCAAACAGAAAACGAAAAACATCTTAAATCAAAAGGTTGAGATTTATGAACTGAATCTAGGCGTAATGATAGGAATTTCAAACAGAAGACAAAAAACATCTTAAACCAAAAGGGTGAGATTTATGAATTCGAAGTTCCATTCGATGACAATTCACGATGGACAACTGTTCCAAGGTAAATGGTTCGCCCCGCCTCCAAATCCTGCTCGATGTCCGAGTAGCAATCAATTATAAAATTACATCTTGCAAAGTTGAATACTTCAAACTACATTCTTCATAAAGATGCGGAAAAGATTTGAAGAGGTGACGCGAAGGATGATTTGGATAACAAGGAGTTTTTTCCTAGGTTGATTTCTGTGGCATGATAGAGCATGAAGGTGCCAGAATGAAAAAAGACGTAGAAACGAGAAAATTCAAACAACATTGAACGTGTCGTACTGAGGACAAGTTTGAAAACTAAAAAGCTAGCAGGCACTCGAAAAAACTTCAAAAACTTTAAATCATTTTTCGTAACCGGATATCATCTTTTATTCG